TGGGGGGCGAGAGCCGAGCCAGATGGATGGATAGATGGGAAGCTGGAGGGGAGGGGAGGGAAGCAGAAGGAGCGCATCTCTTGGCGAGCTCAGAAGGTGCGCGCACGCAGAGGCGAGCGGAGCAGCGGTCACAGGCTCGCATCCTTCCTGCTCCTCCTCGGCTCTTCTCGCCTGCGGCTCTCCCCCCCTCCCCAAATTCCGTGCTCGGCCGACCCTCTTCCTCGCCCCCCAGCCATGCCCAATTTCGCCGGCACCTGGAAGATGAAGAGCAGCGAGAATTTTGACGAGCTTCTGAAAGTCTTGGGTAAGGCGCCGCGCGCTGGGCTTCGGGGAGGCGGACGCTTGGATGGCTCAAGGCGCTAGGCAGCATGAAGGGCGGCCACCCCCCTGGTGCGCTTCCATCCCGCTCCGGGGGGAACGTGTGGACGGTCCCCGGGAGCCTCGACTCGGGAATGTCGGGCTGAGCGAGGGAAGCGGCTCTGGGCGCGCTGAGCGCCTTTAGCCGGAGAGGCTGGGCTCCAGGGGCGCATTGATCCCGGGGATTTCCTCGCAGGTAAACCTTAGAAAGGATCCTCGACCTGCCTTTACTCCCGTGTAAAGCCCTCCGGCGGGACAGCTCTAGGAGTCTCAGGAAGGTGGCGATTTACCTTGGTCTAATTTTTAAGAAAGCATTTCAGGTCGCTCGACATTCTCCCATTGTAATTCCGCAGTTGGGTCCTTCTCCTAGGATTTCGCTCGTGTTTTCTTGGCGTTGTGAACCGGCCAGAGTGACCCGAGGTGCGGGGAGGTAGAAGTTGAGCGAATAAATAAAGGCAATTAAAAATTATTTTATTAGGGTTCATTTACGAAAGATACCATGCCACTTTTTCTTTCGAAAATCAAGCCTGCGAAGGTAAAGGACCAAGCGCAGCGGGTTTTGTCATTTCAGATGATGAGGGTGATGATTAAATAAAACCACCCGCTCCTGTACCTGTTTTCTGGATATTAGGCGCACTGAACACAGGGGAGCCCCCTTCATTTTGAAACTGGCCTAAGAGACGTCTCTCCAGCCACGATTTTTGGAAGTATTGTGATTTTTCGCTACCCTCCATGCATCATCTGATGGATGAAGTCCCATAAGGGACTAAAAGCTAGCCTTTTTCTATTTGGAAAGAAGTATCACCTACCATGACTTTGGAGCATGTCCAAGAGTTACATGGATTTCCCCCCTCTTTTGATGGCCATCCCAGGGAAACACTTACAGGCTTTCTACAGGTTTGGGTGGTGGGGTGATCAAAAATGAGCCATTTACCATCTTTGTAGAGGTCAAGAAAATGTGCTTCTGGATTACTGTATTTGGGAAGGGGGGGGCTCAATTTAGTAACATCCATGATAGTCCATCCATCTTAAGACCTTTCAGCCCAGGATCTAAGATCATTTAATCTCACCCCTAGCTCAGTTCATGTTGCTTTGCCCGTCCTTGCCCAGGAGTCAACGCCATGCTGAGAAAAGTAGCCGTGGCGGCCGCCTCCAAGCCGCACGTGGAGATCCGCCAAGATGGAGACCAGTTCTACATCAAGACCTCCACCACCGTCCGCACCACGGAGATCAACTTCAAAGTCGGCGAGAGCTTCGAGGAGGAGACGGTGGACGGCCGGAAATGCAGGGTAAGAAAGAGCAAAGCCCGGTTGTTCAGACGGTAGGAGCAACGGGATCGGGGCCCTCTCAGGCTGGGCTATCCAGCCGTGTCTTCCCCAGGACATTCCGTATGGTGAAGGCTTCCTAGAAAAACATAGTGAACGTGGTTCTTCTAGCTTCTGGAGGAGGAGTAATTTCAAAGATTTGCAGCCGAACCAAGGCCTCCAATCCAATTTAGCATTCCTCCTGAAAGAAAGTAAGCCCACTGAATCAAGGGGATTTACACATGTGTTGACTCATTAATTCAGCAGTTGATTTAATGGGTCTCCTGTCTTGGAAAGGATTGTGTGCAAAGCAGGTCGCAGGGCACCTGAAAGATCAATGGCTGTTATTTGAGCTAAATTTTTTGGAGACTCCTATCCACTGTCTGTCGAAGAAATAAACGGAAGTCTGTGGAAGTCGGCGCCTTTTTAAAATTAGGCTGCATGACTTTATGGACTTTATCAATGCCATCAAAGTCTGCAAAATTAAAAAAAATGACCTCCGGCAAATTCTTAAGGGTCCGAAACAGAGAGACTGAAACCAAGCTAATGAACAAACACGCAATTAAACAAAACAATCCCTCAGAATTTTTCTTTCTTTCTTTCTTTCTTACGTCCTCTTTAAATGCAGTTTCGATGTAGGACCGACTTTACAGACATCACTCTTCCTCATTTGGATTCTAGGGCAAATTGAGTCCATTATTTGGGGGAAACACTTCTTTTTCCGATGCACCGTATTGGATGTGTTTGATTTTTTCCTTTCCTGGGACTAGAGCAATGGGCCAGTATGAAAGTTAGATTTTTTTTTTCAGTTGCAAACGGACCAACCAGAAAGCCATGGTTTTGGAAGGGGGCCTCAAAGGCCATCGAGTCCAATCCCCTACTCAATCTTAGAATCCCTATTTGGGGGAAACACTTCTTTTTCCGATGCACCGTATTGGATGTGTTTGATTTTTTCCTTTCCTGGGACTAGAGCAATGGGCCAGTATGAAAGTTAGATTTTTTTTTTCAGTTGCAAACGGACCAACCAGAAAGCCATGGTTTTGGAAGGGGGCCTCAAAGGCCATCGAGTCCAATCCCCTACTCAATCTTAGAATCCCTATCAAAGCGGCTATTGAGTCCAATTCCCTGCTCAATCTTAGAATCCATATCAAAGCAGATCGGACAGATGGGTGGTCCAATGCTCTCTTGAAGGCCTCCAAGTGCTGGATGAAATTATCCCAGATTTGGTCATAGTTTCCACCCACCTGCCCAACGTGGCGGTTTCCAGCGAAGGATGATGATGGCAGACACACCCCAAACCCATGCCCCTTGATTCCGCTATCTCTGCTCCGTCCATCACACCCCTGTCTCCTTTTGCTTGCACATCCTTTACCTATCTAGAAATTTTGTTTCTCTGTAGCGCCATGTTGAGAAATATTAAAACAAATAACAGGAAACCACTCACGCAAAGGGCTCTTGATCCTCAAAGTTTCTATTAGTTATCGTCTTCCTCCCTCTTGCTAGAGCTTAGGTGGAGACCTTTTTTGCCTGTGTTGACTTATAGAACCATAGTTTTGCTTACAAGCATTCATCAGCTTTACAACCATAAGAAGGGAATCCTGTAGCAATGTTGTCTTGAAGAGGATGTGCTGTTCCAAAGTCCGTCCGACATCAGTGAAGCTTACTTCCAGCTAAACGGATGCACGATGGCTCCTCGCCTCTGGAACGATCTCCCTCCGGAGATTCGCGCGGCCCCTACACTGGGCATCTTTAAAACCCAATTTAAAACATGGATGTTCATTCAGGCCTTCCGTCCAGCCAATTTTTGATTTTCTTTTTCTTATTTTCCCTATTTTTTTATTTTATTGTAGTTGTTTTGTATTATTATGTATTTGTTTGCGTTTTATTGTCTGATTTTATATTGGAAGCCGCCTAGAGCGGTCCGGTGGTCCAGATAGGCAGGGTATGTATAAATAATAGGCGGGGTATAAATCAAATCAAATCAAAAATCAAATCAAATCAAATCAAATCAAATAAATAAATAAATAAATAAATAAATAACTAGTAGGATGCTGCATATGCTCATCCAGAAATAAGTCCCACCAAAGTCAGTGAATCCCCAGCTGAGTATAGGATCAAGGGAGCAAATGATTCATTTAGCCGGAAAGTAAGCTAAGCTTAGCCTAGATCCTTAGATGTCAACCAACTGCCATCTTTAAAAAATCCTATACTGCAAGACCATGACCTAAAAGTCCATAAAGAAAGACACAGGGTTCTTACAGTGCTTTGCCAACAGGAATACCTCAAATGGCACGTTGGGTAAATCATGACCATAATATGGGGTCACATCCTTCCAGATTGCCAGTGCTGTGTAATGGGCAGAATGTTGGACCCGGGGGAGGTTAAATCTCTGTTTGGCCATGCCAAATCTCTGGGGTGTGGAGGCAGCAAGCCATCCCTTCAATATCGTACGTCCCTCAAAAACCCTAGGAGGGTTGCCGTAAATCAGAGGCTGTTTCACAGTGCATGCTCCCAACACCCTCACAAGGACGAACTCCCATGCTGTGCGATTATCAATAGTCCGAGTCCAGAGAGGTTAATGAAAAGCAAGTGGTTTTGGGGTTCGGCACAACCCAAAATTTCATATAAGTGCATTCTGGATTTCAAGGGCCAGCCATGATTCTCTTTACTCCCCCAAATGGCTTCCTTTATCTCGACCCAGCATCCACGTTAGCCCAGAAACCAGATTAGGGATTGGGTTCGATTTCAACGGGTCTTCAGTCAAATCAATGAGGATCACAAAATCATGGAATAAGGGTGTTGGAAGGGGGCCTCTAAAGCCATCCAGTCTGACCCCCTGCTCACGGCAGGAATTCAAATCAGAGCAGATCTGACTGAAAATTCTCCAATTCTCCCTCTGGAAGGCCTCCAGCGTTGGAGGGAGCTGAAAATAGCAGAATTTGGAGCACCGATGCTGGGCGGATGTTTTGGGCTGGGTTGACTTCAGATCCTAAATCCTTTTATGTCCCTCTGGAGAAGAGACAATTCACTGTTCAGCTTCTTAGTTGCTCTTACCAGATGCTTCACCTGGGCACAAACACCCGGGGGGGGGGAGCCTGTGGCCCCCCCTTGAATGGATGTGTACCAAAGAATTGGCCGCCTGTTTCCAATACGTCTATATAACGTAGGGGGAGAGTCAGAGGGGGTGGGAAAGGGGCTTCGCCCCTCCAGCAGCCACCCACAAAACCCCTGCACCAAGGAAGACCGCGGTGCCCAGGAAAGCCCCTATTTCATTTGGAGAGCCACGTTTCCTTTGAACCCACTGTGACGGGGTTTGCCACTAGCGCCCCTTTGGTGGGCCACCCGCCCTTGCCCCACATCTCCTGGGTGGAGACGCGAGACACAGACGCAGCTGACGGGTCAGGAGGACGTTGCACCAAGAGGTGTTCAGGGAGGGCAGGGATGAAGGCTTGGTGGGGCTGTTCCTCCTCGGGGCCCTGAGAGGGTTCAGTCAAGGAAGAGCAGATCCTGGGGGTTGCATCAGAGGAGCTGGGTGCCATCCTTTGCCCAACTGGGGAGCAGGATGAGGACCCTCGGGGAGAGCTGGCCAGCAGCATCTCAGTGGCTAGCGGCCAAGGCTGGGGATGAGGAATTTCCATCACCCCATCTCCCATCTGGCCCTCTCAGCAAAGCTAGTTATCGAGGGTGGTGGATATGGGCAGGCAGCAATACCTAGTGGTCACAGCTGCTCCACCCCACCTCCCAAATTACAAACCAAGACCCACAGACTGCAGGGCGGCTGTGCTTCTTGCAGAAATTGGGAGTCGTTGTCTGATTAGAATGGATGGATGGATGGATGGATGGATGGATGGATGGATGGATGGATGGATGGATGGATGGATGGATGGATGGATGGATGGATGGATGGATGGATGGATAGATAGANNNATAGATAGATAGATAGATAGATAGAGAGATAGATAGATAGATAGATAGATAGATAGATAGATAGATAGATAGATAGATAGATAGATAGATAGATAGATAGTGTGGGAAACAAAACTTTTCCCATACTTCCCCTTTGGAATGGGAACCAGAGGGAACTTTCGATATTCCAAAAGTTATTTATTAGGAAGCAACAGCCAAGCCTGTTCTCTAGCACCAGATGTTACCAAGACCTGCACCCCCTGCAAAGAAGCAGTTCCATGAATGAAAAAGGGAAGATGATGGGAAAACTCCCAAGCACCCATGAAATGCAAGCAAAGCGCATTGCTCAGCCGTCTCTCAGCTAAAGGCATGAGGTGACTCCTCTCTTTGCAGAGTTGTTTTTTTCCTTTCCTGGAACGACTTTGCAATATAACAGAGAACATTTGTAACCACATAATGTTTGAAGAGTGGGATGTGGAAATTTGTATCCCAGTTATCTGAAGGATGGCAGTGGGGAAGGAAGACGTACTCCCTGCTACTAAAGAAATCCCCGGGGGTCCATCACTCCTTCCCTTTCAGTGTGGGACTACCATGCAGGACTGTTGTGAGGACATAACATGGTGGTGGAGAGCCACATATTTGGCCTTGTGGTCACTGGAGGACAGGTGAAATATAAATGTAACTAATTACGGTAAGACTGTTGTATCCACGGGATTAAGCATCCGCAGTTTCAGTTATCCGTTGACAGAAAATATTAAATTTTTAAAAAACCAGAAATGTGTTTGAAATGTGTATTATCAAAACCGGCCACTAGAGGGAAAAGGAGAGTCACTTCTTGCAATTTTCTGAAATACTGAATGCAAAATTAATAATGTTCATCTTGATGCATCATGTCTACCAATGGCAGCCTCACTAACATATAATGTTCCAGACGAATGGGCTGGAGAAAAAGAGCCCATTCTAAGACAACTGGCTGGATTCACAGTGAACTGAGGAAGAAAACATGGCTCATACTTTGAAATATGTTAGCCCTGTTGTATGATAGCCTGCTCCTACACTGGGAGACTTACTCCATTGTTGCTAGATGGACATTCTGCACATCTCCGTAGAGGATTTATGGAAAGCGGGGGGTGTTTAACATGTACGGATTTAACTTTACCTCCCTGGGCTGCTAAATTTAATTTCTCCTCTTCCCTTCCTGCCTCATCTCGCCCTTTTACTGCCACCATTATCCTTCCGTGTATCCATGGCTGTTAAGCTTGCACAAATACAATTAAGACATCTCATTGTGTACCCCCCGACTCCTCTCGTGGCGTGGGGGGACTGCTTTTCGTTCACAGAGTTTACCCACGTGGGAGACCGAAAATAAGATCCATTGCAAACAGACTCTTCTGGAAGGAGAAGGACCCAAAACATATTGGACGCGAGAGCTGGTGGGCGATGAGCTGATTTTGGTAAGCACTTCTAAAAAATTTTTTGGGGGGGTTGGGGTTGATCTAAGTTGTAAGAATGAAGTCCTCTGGGATGGGACCATCGATATAACATTGTTATATCGATGCAGTTATATCCTGCTGCATCGATATAACAATTCCCCCCCACACACACACAGAGTGCAGTTTACACGCTGCATAGTAAATGTGTAAAATGCATTCAAGCACATTAAAATGAGTCCCGTGGAGCGGTGGTTAAACTGCAGTGCTGCAGTCAAGCCTCTGCTCGTGACCCGAGTTCAAATCTTGACAGGCTCCCATAGCTGGCTCGAGGTTGACTCAGCTTTACATCCTTCTGAGGCCGGTGAAATGAGTACCCATCCTCGTTGGGGTTGGGTGTGTGAGTAATGTGTAGCCTGCATAATTAAATTATACATCACCCAGACAGTGCTCCAGCACTACGGGGAGGTATTAAAATGGAAACGGGAGTAGCAGCAACAACAACATTTGGAAACCCAAAGGGTTTGCAGCTGCTCACCCTTGCCAGGTTGCCACAAAATGCTTTACTCCGGGTTCAGCCGGTTTCCTTGCCTAGCTACAAGCGACCTGCTCTGACTGGCAGCAGTGTTCCCGGGGTTTCAGGCAGGCAAGGGTCTTTCCCCATCATCTGCTCCCTTACCCCCTTTCGACGAGAGATCCCAGGGATTTGAACCTTCCCCAGGTTCAGCACCGCTGGGGATCATTGGATCTGGAGTCAAACAAAAGCTGGCTTCATGGCTCAGTAAGTTATGCACCCGGTTGCAGAGGTTGGGAGTTTGATTCCCCCACTGAGCCTCTCAAGAAGAAGAGCCAGCCTGGGTGGCCTTGGGCCGGCTGC